TGTCTTTACGACTCTTTACGACGGCTGTCTTTACGACTCTTTACGACAGCTGTCTTTACGACGGCTGTCTTTACGACGGCTGTCTTTACGACTCTTTACGACGGCTGTCTTTATGTAATGAACATATACCTGTCAGATATTATTCATAATTTAAACGGATTCTTTCATTTTTCTGGACTGAGTTCTATCGTGTTTTGAATGATTAAATGTGGACGGAAACGTGTTTTAATTTCTGACTCACCAACAACAGTGAGCCGTTTAATTAAAAACGATTTAAAACACATCACACATTTACAATAATTGGCAGATTGATTACAATAACAGCTTAATTAACTTGCTTTACAATGAGAACCATACGGCCATGGTATCACTTGCAGCTTTACAGCAGACATTTCTGAAAATATCTGGATTAATTACTGGCAGATAGAAGATTTTTAAAGATGGGAAAATGAAGTTTAAATGGAGATGGTGTGTGAGGGAAAATGTGTCAACAAAGAACGGCACCCTCCATTCGAACCCAGCTCTACCTCGGTACACTTCGGTAGTGGAAATCGACTCTTTACCTGTAGAAGATGTCTCCACTGGTACGGAGTTCCATTTAACGCTACCTTTCCAGCGTCTCCGTAGGATAGCAGAGAACCGTCCGGAGTAGTGACGGTACTTCGTTCAACAGCACCTCACCTCACGGGTGGACTCACATGAGCTGTGAGTCCGTCAGAGGTTCCACTTAGATGTGGAAGATTCCATAATCCCCACGAGACTCGGAACTTTGTTCTGCGTAGTTCCCGTTGTTCTGCTGGAACTAGGAAGTGTTGACCCTTTTAAAGAGGTCAGTTCCCGTTCCTCTGAGAACTTCCTGATTGGTTGAAACGAACCAACAGGGGTGTGGTCTTAGTGACGTAAGAGGGTCATTAAAAGTCAAGGAGACAGAGTAGATTGTTTTAAGAACAGACAGAAAGATGTTTTGAAGAACAGAGACATTTTGGAGCCAGTCCTCTTCTATCTATCTGAAAAAGTTAAACATGACATTTCTTTCCAGTAAACATGTTTTTGACCGAAACTTGACTTCTGACCCACATCACGACTTGCTCATTTCAGACAGAAGATCAAGAAAATGAATAATTACTCTGTAACAGACATTAACTAGATTTCTACTTTGAATGAGGATTAAAAATCATTAATACTGTTTCACAGTTGATTTAAAATGAGTAGTTCACTTCAACATTTAAAAATGGTTTGAACTAAATACACTTTTGATTATCAAGACATTTGTAAAATAGTAATGATAATAAAAAAGAGAGTGTTCTTTCAATTGATCAGTGCAGGACACACTTAGAAAGTCTCTGGATGAACTTAATTTTGTGTTTCTGGACTCAAATCAATGAAATAACAGTTCTTGTCCCAGGAAGGCCCTCAGGGCCAGATTTTGACCTGAGGCTTAGTTCACTACATTTACGACGGCTGTCTTTACGACTGCTGTCTTTATGACGGCTGTCTTTACAACGGTTGTCTTTATGATGGCTGTCTTTACGACGGCTGTCTTTATGACGGCAGTCTTTAAGACGGCTGTTATTACAACGAATGTCTTTACGACTGCTGTCTTTACAACGGCTGTCTTTACAACAAATGTCTTTACGACGGCTGTCATTACAACAAATGTCTTTACGACGGCTGTCAACAAATGTCTTTACGACGGCTGTCTTTACGACGGCTGTCTTTACGACGGCTGTCTTTACGACGGCTGTCTTCACGACGGCTGTCTTTACGACGGCTGTCTTTACGACGGATGTCTTTACGACGGATGTCTTTACGACGGCTGTCATTACAACGAATATCTTTACGACGGCTGTCTTTACAACAAATGTCTTTACGACGGCTGTCATTATAACGAATGTCTTTATGATGGCTGTCTTTACGACGGCTGTCTTTACGACGGCTGTCATTACAACAAATGTCTTTACGACGGCTGTCTTTACGACGGCTGTCTTTACAACAAATGTCTTTATGACGGCTGTCTTTACAACGGCTGTCTTTACGACTCTTTACGACGGCTGTCTTTACGACGGCTGTCTTTACGACGGCTGTCTTTACGACGGCTGTCATTACTACGAATGTCTTTACGACGGCTGTCTTTACAACAAATGTTTTTACGACGGCTGTCTTTACAACAAATGTCTTTACGACGGCTGTCTTTACGACGGCTGTCTTTACGACGGCTGTCTTTACGACGGCTGTCTTTACGATGGCTGTCTTTTCACGCTCGTTAGACTGCTGAGCTAACTGCAGGATCTCTGCCTTAGATCAGAATTTGTTGTTTGATAATAAAATTGGGCGTACATTTTGTTTTTTTAAATAGTTAGAGCTCACAGAGAGGTGACAGCTCTATTAATTGTGTACCGTGCAGCTGAAATAAAAATATCTAATTTAAATGACTTTTTAAGGGTCTTTTGTGTATGTATGTATGTATGTATGTATGTATGTATGTATGTATGTATGTGTATATATATATATATATATATATATATATATATATATATATATATAATATTCATTCAACCTTTATTGATACAGGTTAGTCCCACTGAGCCAATAGGACTCATTTACAAGAGACACCTGGATTTTAACAAAGAGTGATGACAACAGTGGATAACAAACTGTTTTTCAATTGTAAAACAAACAAACAAAAATTGTCTGAATCATTTGTGAATGTGTATTGTTGTCGTTGTTATCACTGTCTTATTATCTTGTGCTCTGGTCCAGTCTCTTCATGGACGATGTGTGTGAGGGTGGACATGTTTGGAGGTTGCTGTGTTGAAGCTCCATGAATCAGCCTCTCTGCAGCTCTCAGCACCTTCACTGAGCTTTGAGGGAATGCTGCTGTTCTTCACAGTTGGAAGGTGGTAGCTCTCGTCAAATGATGGTCTCCAGCATCATCTTGTTCATGCCAGGCTTTTCATCCACTGACCACAGCCACCTGGAAACATCTGGGGGACCAGTAGCTGTTTAACACATCTGGAAGGAAACCAGTGAGATTTTAATATGGCCATGACCATCATGATATGATGTTATGTGGGAGAGTGGTGGCGCAGAGGTTAGATGGGCCTGTATTGGGAAAGTCGCAGGTTCAACTCCCGGTACTGTCAACATCAAAATGTGGGTGGAAAAGGTGAAACACCCACACCTGCCTCCACCCTCATTGGCCCCACTCTGGGCCCCTGAGCAAGGCACTCAACCCCCACCATCTGCTCCTAAACAGGTCTCTCTAGAAAATTAGTTCTTGTGACTCAATGAGACTACCTGGATAAATAAAGGTTAACTGGCTCCTCTCGACGTGGAGAAGCAGCGGCTCTACTCTGAGTCTCTCCCGGATGATCGAGCTTCTCACCCTATCGCTAAGGGAGAGCCCAGACACCCTGCGGAGAAAACTCATTTCGGCCGCTTGTATCCGAGATCTCATTCTTTCGGTCACAACCCAAAGCTTGTGACCATAGATGAGGGTAGGAACGTAGATCGATCGGTAAATTGAGAGCTTCGCCTTTTGACTCAGCTCTCTCTTCACCACGACAGACCTGTACAACGCCTGCTTCACTGCTGACGCTGCACCTATCTGCTTATCAATCTCACGCTCCATTTTTCCCTCATTCGTGAACAAGACCCCAAGATACTTAAACTCCTCCACTTGGGGTAGGACCTCCTCCCTGACCCAGAGAGGGCACTCTACCCTTTTCCGGCTCAAGACCATGGCCTCGGATTTGGATGAACTGGTTATCATCCCGGCCGCATTGCATTCGGCTGCGAACCACTCCAGCGAAAGCTGTAGATCATGATCTGATGAAGCCAATAAGACCACATCATCTGCAAATAGCAGAGACGCAATCCTAAGGCCACCAAAACAGATCCCCTCAACACCTTGGCTGCGCCTAGAAATTCTGTCCATAAAATTTATGAACAGAATCGGTGACAAAGGGCAACCTTGGCGGAGTCCAACTCTCACCGGGAACAAGCCCGACTTACTGCCGGCGATGCGGACCAGGCTCTGACACCGGTCATACAGGGACCTGACAGCCCATATCAAAGGGCCCGGTACCCCATACTCCCAGAGTACCCCCCACAGGGTTCCCTGAGGGACGCGGTCGAACGCCTTCTCCAAGTCCACAAAGCACATTTAGACCGGTTGGGCAAACTCCCCCGCACCCTCCAGGACCCTGCTGAGAGTGTAGAGCTGGTCCAGTGTTCCACGGCCAGGACGAAAACCACACTGCTCCTCCTGAATCCGAGGTTCGACTATCCGATGGACACTCCTCTACAGAACCCCCGAATAGACCTTACCAGAGAGGCTTAAGAGCGTGATTCCCCTGTAGTTGGAACACACTCTACGGTCCCCCTTTTTGAATAGGGGGACCACTACCCCGGTCTGCCAATCCAGGGGAACTTCCCCCGATGTCCACGCAATATTGCAGAGTCATGTAAGCCAACACAACCCTACAACATCCAGAGCCTTAAGGAACTCCGGGCGAATCTCATCCACCCCTGGGGCCCTGCCACCGAGGAGCTTTTTAACCACCTCAGTGACCTCAGCACCAGAGATTGGAGGGCCCAACCCAGAGTCCCCAGGCTCCGCTTCCTCAGTGGAAGACGTGCTAGTGGGATTGAGGAGGTCTTCAAAGTATTCCGCCCACCGACCCACAACATCCCGAGTTGAGGTCAGCAGCACACCACTCCCACTATAAACAGTGTTGGTGGCGTACCGCTCCCCCCCCCCCCCCCCCCCCCGCCGGATGGTGGACCAGAATTGTCTCGAAGCCGTGCGGAAGTCATTCTCCATGGCCTCTCCGAACTCCTCCCATGCCCGAGTTTTTGCC